CCAGGTACTCGGGAGGCTGAGGCAGGAGAACGGCGTAAGCCCGGGAGGCGGAGCTTGCAGTGAACCGACATCGCCACTGCACTCCAGCCTGGGCGACAGAGCGAGACTCCGTCTCAAAAAAAAAAAAAAAAAAAAGAAACTAGGGTAAAAATCTGAACATGAAGATGAAAGAGAGAAGCTCAGAAAGGGCCAGGTGCGACTGGTCCTGCGATTATATTTCTCTTCTTTGATCTTATCCATGTCGTTGTTTGAAAGGTGGGTTTTTTCTGCTTTTACTAGAATGAGCCAGAATCTGGCATTCACTCTGTCACTTGCAGTATCAAATCCCGTCTGCCCGGGTCTGAGAGCTGTGGTGTTGCAGCCCCTGCCACCGAGCCAGCCCTTTCCCCTGCCATGTGGCATCCCCCTTCCCTAGGCCAATCCCCATGCAGATGCAGCAGTCTTGTCTCCAAGCCCAAAATTACAGTCTGTGCCAGGAGAGGGGCTGCACCATAGCTGCACGGTTGTTCCTGCACCTGCAGACCATCTTCCACCCCAAGATCTCACTCGTCAGCATGCAGGTACTTTGCAAGCATGCAAGGATTTCTGTGTGTGCCACTCACCTGGCTGTGTTGCCGTACACAAGTTACTAAGCCTCAGTTTCCTCATCTGCAGAGCAATCTAATTGAACCCTCTGCTGGGGCGCTGTTGGGCTTGACTGAAGCCCCCAGCCTCCTGCCTGGTCAAGAGTGAGCAATCAGTAGAAAACAGCAGTAAGGTTGTCCTTCTCCCCTGAGTGCCCGGACTCCTGTTCCCGTGTCTTTATGAGTTCTCCAGTTGGTTTTCATTTGGGGCCAAATCCTAGCTTATTTCAGTGGAGTAAGTTTAGGAATCTCAGTCTCCGAGAAAGCTGGGGAAGGAGGCTTAGAGAGTTTTTGGAGGAGAGGCGAACAATTAGGGAAAGAAAAAGGGCTCTGTGGGACCCAAGGAACAGGCTGTGCTACGTTTCATCTGGCCTCTGGTTAGCACATTGACGAACGCTGGTTGGTTTTGATTTCTTAGCAATTCGTTTTACATATTTATGGATGAATGTAGGTAAAAGAGCTAGGATTTGAACCCCATTTTTCTGCCTCAAAGACCACATTCTCATCCTCACACTCTGCCATCTTCCCAGGCAGTCGTAGTCAATGTCATTTTGAGTTTTTTTTGTGGTGGGGGCCAGGGGCTGGGAGGCACCTACTCTGAGGAAGAGAACATTTATCCTGGTTCTGCCTTTGTCTCTGAGACACTGCCTGCATTTCCACATCACGCGCTGGCGGGTGTGTGCTGAGGACGTGGAGACCTGGGTGGGGTGGGGTGGGGTGGTCAGAGTTGTCCACAAGGAAGATGAGGACCTCCTAGGACATCTCTCCATACCTGTGCAGAGGCCTGAGGATGTGGACGATACAATCAGCCGGTTCCCCTCTGCAGGGAGGACTTCCCCAGGCAGAAGGGAGCTTCAACTCCTGCATGAAGACTGTGGATTATAATGGGAAAGAGGAATTACAATCTGATTAAGGCTGTCAGAGATAGACGTGGATTGCTGAAAGAGATTGTGAAGTCCTGTTTCATTCATTTTTAAAAACAGATATGGGGGCCAGGTGTGGTAGCTCACGCCTGTAATCCCATCTCTTTGGAAGGTCAAGGCGAGTGGATCACCTGAGATCAAGAGTTCGAGACCAGCCTGGCCTACGTGGCGAAACCCCATCTCTACTAAAAATGCAAAATAATTAGCCAGACGCTGTGGCAGGCACCTGTAATCCCAGCTACCTGGGAGGCTGAAGCAGGAGAATCGCTTGAACCCAGGAGGCAGAGGGGCAGAGGGTCCGTGCACCATTGCACGCCAGCCTGGGCAACTCCATCTTAAAAAAAAAAGAAAAAACTGATATGGGGATGGTGGTTACACAGGTATATTTGTCAAAACTCCTCGAACCATGCACTTGAAATGTGTGCATTTTGCTGCATGAAAATTGTGCCTCGAAGCTCATTTTTAAGTGAACTTTTTTGGGGGATGATGTTGTAACATGACTTTTTTTCTTACGTAATTAATCAATTGCCTTAAACCTGTTTGTTAAATAACAAATAGTTCCATTATGGCCGGGCACAGTGGCTCACACCTGTGATCCCAGCACTTTGGGAGGCCGAGGACGTTTTGCTTGAGCACAGGAGTTCAAGACCAGCTTGAGCAACATAGTGAGACCCCTGTCTCAACAGAAAAATTAAGAAATTAGCCGGGCGTAGTAGCGCACGCCTGTAGTCCCAGCTGCTCTGGACACCATGGCAGGAGTCGAGGAGGTCGAGGCTGTGGTAAGCGGGGATTGCACTGCAGCACTGCAGCCTGGGTGACACAGCAAGACCCCGTCTCAAGAAAAAAACCAAACAAATGGTCCCATTATGAAAGAGACCTCATTATTTTTTGAGTTCACAAATGATCAGGTAGTTGTTTTTTTTTTTTTTTCTTTTAAGATGGAATGTCGCCCTGTCGCCCAGGCTGGAGTACAGTGGCGCGATCTCGGCTCACTGCAATGTCCGCCTCCCGAGTTCAAGCCATTCTCCAGCCTCACCCTCCTTAGTAGCTGGGGCTACAGGTGTGTGCCACTGCCTCCAGTTAATTTTTGTATTTTTAGTAGAGACAGGGCTTCACCATGTTGGCCAGGCTGGTCTCAAACTCCTGACCTCAAGTAATCTGCCCGCCTCAGCCTTCCAAAGTGCTGGGATTACAAGCGTGAGCTACTGCACCTGGCCTGATCAAGTAGTTCTTTGAGACCTTTTGCATAAGAGTGGACAGCCAGTCCCCTGCCGTGTCACGTGACAGATTTTCAGCTGTTCTTTACCCTACAGCTGGTTGGAGGGGCAGTGCCCCTGGAGGCAGACTCCCTGGGTTTAAGCCAGTTTCAGGAAACCTGTGCAACCTTGGACGAGTTAGTTTGTTGTACACGCCTCACTTTCCTCTCTTGAAAAATGGGGATAATTATATCTATTTCATGAGGTTGTTACAAGGATTAAATAAGTTAATACAGGAAGAGTTTAGAATTGGACCTAGCACATAGCAGACTCTCAAACATATTGACCAGGCCGGGCACGGTGGCTCACGCCTGTAATCCAGCACTTTGGGAGGCCAAGGCAGGTGGATCTCCTGAGGTCAGGAGTTCAAGACCAGCCTGGCCAAAATGGTGAAACCCCATCTCTACTAAAAATACAAAAATTAGCCAGGTGCAGTGGCATGTACCTGTAATCCCAGCTACTTGGGAGGCTGAGGCAGAAGAATTGCTTGAACTCAGGAGACGGAGGTTACAGTGAGCCAAGATCATACCATTGCACTCCCCAGCCTGATCAACAAGAGTGAAACTCCATCTAAAAAAAAAAAAAAAAATCCATATTGGCCATTTAGTAATTGTAATTGGTATCATTAAGTGGCCATTGTTAGTAGCATTTCGTGTTTATTGTGGTCATCGTCACTGTTGCTGTCCAGGCATGGCCAGTTGCAGGCACTGATCCCAAGGACAGTTGGTTTCCGGCGTGGTCACCTGGCCTTCTCGAGCCTCATCAGCAGCTGATGGCAGCCCATCTCTGGCTACAGTAGTCCTTTTTGGTTTTTTCAGCAAAAAATGTGTAGTTGCCTCATTCCTTCAGGATTCTTGATTTGGGTAGGCTGCATTGGTCTTACATCGCCCCTATTTTGACCTGGCCTAGGCCAACACTTCCTAAAATACCATTCCCTGAGGCGCCAGGCCACCCTGGGTCCTGCAGGATTCCCGCCTGGCGGAAGGAACATCACAGGAAAGAGGGAGGGGAGAAACAACCCTTCCTGATGCTTTACACTCCTGTGAGCACCAGGCCCTGTACAAATATTGTCCAAGTGGAGCCTCCTGACTGCTATGACAATGCGCTGCTCACTGTGTTTTGTGGATGGAGGACTTGCAGCCCCCTTGCTGGAGCGGAGAGACCCCCGCTGCCCTGCATTCTGTTCTGGACCCTGCGTGGCTCCAGCTTTCCAGTCCTTCTTTTTGCTTGCTGGCTCAGGAAAGTCTGACCTTTTCCCGGACTCACCTCCAGGCCCGGTTTCCTGTCCTGGGCGCCCTGGGTCCTCCTCCCTGCGCAGCGTGCACGGTGTGGTCGCTTCCAGCCACCAGGGCTGCTGCTGCCTTTTGTTGCAAAGGGCTCCTTCCCGTGTGTTTCCACACAAGCATCACAGCCTGAGTCCTTAGGCCCTCCCAGAACCAGAAACCCAGGGGGAGAAGATACTAAGATACCCCTGGAAAGAGAGGCTGGAAGGGCTGTCCAGGCAGAGGGCAGTGAGTGCAGAGGCCTGAGTGAACCCGTGTGTTCAGTGAGGAGTGACGTAGCTGGAAGGCCATCCTGGTGGGCTTTGTGGGCCCCTCCAAGGAATTTAGTCTCCATCCTTCAGTGATTGGGACAGGGAAGGGCCTATAAGATTTCATAAAATTGTATGAAAAGAATGTATAGGGTGCAGTGGCTCACGCCTGTAATCCCAGCACCTTGGGAGGCCAAGGCAGGCAGATCACTTGAGCTCAGGAGTTTGAAACCAACCTGGTCAACACAACGAGACTCTAACTCTACAAAAAAAAAATGTTTTTAAATTAGCCAAGTGTTGTGGCACACGCCTGTAGTCCCAGCTACTTGCCTAGGATCACTTGAGCCCAGGAGGTTGAGGCTGCAGTGAGCTATGATCACACCACTGCACTCCAGCCTGGGTGATACAGCAAAACCCTGTCTCAAAAACAAAAGAGTTCATAAAAATTTATAAATCTTTACCAGATTTTATCATCTGGCCAGGTGTGTATTTTTCAAAAGATAGCTTTGGAAGTAGCAGAGGATTCATTCAAAGGCAGATGTTTCTCTTGGCAATACGTTAATCTGGCGATTTTGTCTAAATCTGTGGTGGCAGCTACCATTATCCTTTGTAACGAATAAAATGTGTATTGTTAACATCTGAAATGTGATTTGTCATCTTTTTATAGATGGGAATTTCTTAGCCATAGGCTCGCATGACAACTGCATCTATATATATGGTGTCAGTGACAACGGGAGGAAGTACACGCGAGTGGGCAAGTGCTCGGTAAGCGCTGACGGTGGCCCTGTCGCTCCTGCTGTACCTGCATGCAGTCATTTAACTACAACGGAACGGCGTTGGCAGGGACTTCTAAGGCCAGTGAAATGAAGATGGTGTTTTTCTCTCCCAGGGTCATTCCAGCTTCATTACTCACCTGGACTGGTCTGTAAACTCGCAATTCCTCGTGTCAAATTCCGGAGACTACGAAATCCTCTACTGTGAGTACCACCCTGGGGCTGTAGGAAGTCTCGATCTCAGAAAGTGTTCACTCTGAGACCCAGGAGGCCTCTGTGGAAACCCACCTCCCGTATGACTTAGGCACGTGCCATCATCTCTAGGCCGTGGTTTCTGCCTCTGTAACATAGAGGCGTGGGGCTGTGTGGCCTCTTGGGTCCTTCTGGTTTCCTGCTGACTGCGAGCCCCTGTGGAGGAGAAGATGCTGGGCCTGCCCAGGGGGGAAGAAGGCTGAGCCCTGCAGAGGGGTTCTGGGGGCAAGCAGATGTGGCAGAAGGGGGTGGGTCTGGGTGGATGTGGCCGAAGTGAGTGGGTCCAGAGCTGTCCAGGCAAGAGGAGCGCCTGTCAAGGTGTTATCCTCACAGGAGGGACCATGAAGTCCCTCCCACCTGGGTAGACGGCAGCCCTGGGACCCCTCCTCCTCCTCTCCCAACCCCACCCTGGCCAGTATCTGGGCCCAGGCACAGTGAGGATGATCGCAGCTGGCACTTACAAGCATATCCTCGTGCCATGCACTGGTTCCTCAGACACCCACCAAGCACCTGCCACGTGCCCCACTCTGAGCCACACAGGTCGGCTCATGGGGCACAAGGAAGGCCTCACTGCTGCCCTGCTGGAAGTTACTAGAAAGTGCAGCGTTCCTCCCCTGCATCTTCTCAGGTGATCCACAGCGCTTTCTGGCTTGGCCCCATGATGCAGGGAAGGGCTCAGAGCCCAAAACACAGGCCCCAAGAGCCCACAGGGGTAGGGGAGTCACACTCACTTGAGCGTCACCACTTGTTGAGGACCAGGACAGGCAGGACACTGGCGGCAGGGAAAGCAGGGCAGTGTGTACCAAGACTGAGCTCCCTCCAGTGGGGAGGGCAGCCACACCATCTCACCTCCTCCCTGTCCAGGTCCTGCCTGACACAGGCACAGGAACGGATGGTTTTCAGGCACAGTCCCTGGGTCTAGAACCTTCTCAGATGAGGTCTCGTACTCTGCTGGTGAGAGCTCATTTGGGGAACACACAAATGTTCCTTGGGAGGCCCTTGGTGTGACTGGTCTCAATAACCTCCATTCCTGACTCTGAGCTGAAGGGACTGAGGGGGATGGGGAAGCTGGGGGGCCTGACAGCAGAGGCAGAGCTGTGTTCAGGGGCTCTGGCAGGGGCAGGCAGCAGGCGGAGACCCAGGAACCAGAGACAAGAGAAGCCAGACTGGGAAACAGAGACGGAGATGGGAAAAAAACAAAGAAGAGGGCGTCTCCACCCAGGCCCAGGGGCTCGGGCTCAGTTCCAGGGGAGCTCACAGCTGTGCACATGTGGTTCCCGCCCGACTGGGAAGTGGAGGGTCTCCCTCTCCGGGGAGGGCTCTGTACCCAACGGGGCACAGCTCTGGGGGCTCAGCCTTGCCCAGGGGAGGGGTGGGGCCTTGGCTTAGATGTCACCAGACTGTGTTTGCTTTTTGTAGGGGTTCCCTCTGCCTGTAAGCAAGTCGTAAGTGTGGAAACTACGAGAGACATTGAATGGGCTACCTATACCTGCACTTTGGGATTCCATGTTTTTGGTGAGTTTGCTGCAGATTTCACTGGTTCCAACAAAAGAGCGTCTCCTTTTAAAATATGTCTTCAGTAGCTGTGGAGTCTCATGGTCACCAGTCTTGTCAGACTGCTCTGCTGCTACGGGAGGCCTGTGCGCCACACCTCCTGCCGCACCCTGGGGTCGGGCCGGAGCTTGCCTGGCCATGGCCTGCTGAGAAGAACCAGAAAGATGGGTTTTTAACCCTTCTCCATCGTACAGGGTGGCAGATCCCTGGGACCCTCTCCTATCAGGTTGTGCCATGTGGACCTGGGTGGGCCAGATGGCACTCAGTCAACTTATCATTTGTGACGGTTATTATTTATATTTTTTTTGTTCTTAAACTAGAAATTTCACTTTCTTCAAAGTTCACTTTAGGAATATATTCATAAGTAACCTAAATTAAAGGGCTGCAAATTAATAGAATTTTTAAAGGTAGTATTTATCATCTCTTTACATAAGACCACAAGTCAGTAGATTGGTGAGAATTTGCAGTTTTGTGGTGTTCAGTGCTGAGATCCAGAGGTTCGCTCCAGAGCTCCCCGTCAAACCCGACATGCATCCAGCCCTCTCCTAGCCACAGGTTTTTTTTTTTTTTTTTTTTTGAGGCGGAGTCTCGCTCTGCCGCCCAGGTTGGAGTGCCGTGGCCGGATCTCAGCTCACTGTAAGCTCCGCCTCCTGGGTTCACGCCATTCTCCGGCCTCAGCCTCCCGGAGGCTGGGACTACAGGCGCCCGCCACCTCGCCCGGCTAGTTTTTTTTTTGTATTTTTTAGTAGAGACGGGGTTTCACCGTGTTAGCCAGGATGGTCTCGATCTCCTGACCTCGTGATCCGCCCGTCTCGGCCTCCCAAAGTGCTGGGATTACAGGCTTGAGCCACCGCGCCCGGCCCACAGGTATTGTTAAAAGGGTCCCCCACCCACCCATCCTCCAGGCCCACCTGGGCTCAGGGATGCAGAGCCTGGAGCCAGTAATGATGGGCACAGCTGCCAGGCTGCCCCAAGCAAGCAGCGGCCACAGTGAGTGACCCCAAGAAACACATGCACACCCAGGGTTAAAAGGCCTTTGGAGACACCTGCTCTTGTAGAGAATTATAGCAATAACAAGGAAACTGCAGGCTTGAGGACAGGGCAGCTTCCCACCAGATGCTTCAGAGATCAAGGAGAGGCATTGCGTTGGGAACCGGGGTTCCTGGTACCGTCTGCCTTGGCCTCGAGAAGAGGCCTCAGAAGACCTGGCCGCTCGGAAAGCTTGTCTCTGCTCCTTTCGCGCAGCAGCGCACTGGAGACTGGCCTGAGTGAGAGGAGACTGGGCGCACAGGGAGAGGCCAGGAACCGAGGCTGTTGTGCTTTTTTGACCCTTGTTTCTAAAGCTGGACTTGAGGCAGTTTTGTGTTCAGGACTGTCCAGTGGGCGGCTCCTGCACGCCGTGGCCCTGTGGCCCCTGATGTCTCCAGCGCCGTTTGCGGTCTTTGTTTTAGGAGTGTGGCCAGAAGGCTCAGATGGAACCGACATCAATGCCGTCTCTCGGGCCCACGAGAAGAAACTCCTGTCAACAGGCGACGACTTTGGCAAAGTGCACCTCTTCTCATACCCCTGCTCGCAGTTCAGGGTAAAGGGCTTGTTTCTTCGCTAATCTTGTCCCCCATGGGGCGTGCACATATGCCCGACCTGTTGGGAGACTAAATGGAAATGGGCTGTGAGTGAGTGCTGCCAGTCACAGAGGCGGATGTGACTCTGTTATCCGTGCCCAGAGCACTTCCGGCTGCCCTTAGGGAAACCCCAAGCCCCACGGGACCCACAGGGCCCTTCAGATCCGCTCGTCTACCTCTGTGGCTCCACAGGCTCACAGCTCTGCCCTCCGCCACGACCCCCTTGCTGCGCCCCTGCTCAGCTAAGCCAGCCCTGAGGCTTGGGGCACCCTTCCTCATCCTCCGTCACCCTGACCCTGATCCTCCTTCAGCAGGAAGACCCCTCACCCTCAGCCCCAGGCATCTGGTTAGGCCCGCTTTTGGGGCGACCTCATACCTGGCACCTCTGATATTGAACGAATCTCTCAGCCGAGGGCAGTCATTTGCTCGTATTTGTCCCCTACCAGGCCACAAGGACTGTGGGCTTTGTTTCTGTGTCCCTTCTGTGTCACGCACAGAACAGGTGCCCAAGTGAGAGCTGCCGAGTGGAGGGCGAGTAAAGGAATGAAAGCATGCAGTGAGAATTCAAGCACTTTCCCATCCCGGATGGTTTGCCTTGTAGTAAAGGAAGCTTTCCCCCATATCGTTCCCTCCAGGCTCCGAGCCACATCTACGGCGGGCACAGCAGCCACGTCACCAACGTCGATTTCCTCTGTGAAGACAGCCACCTCATCTCCACGGGCGGGAAAGACACGAGCATCATGCAGTGGCGTGTTATTTAGTCCCCATCAAGAGCTGTGGGGAGCAGCATGGCAAGGAAGACACAGACTCACATTACCCTTGGTCACTGTGATTTCTGTTTTGTTTAAAAAATTCTTACAAACCTCAGGAAAACTGGGCCCTCTGCCGGCTACCTTAGCTTAGTGCGCCAGCAGGCGCCACAGCGGATCAGTGGTTCCGTGTTCACTTTTGTTGTACAATATATGACACAGTGCACATTGAATACCAACAAGGTTCCAACGTTTACATTACAGCGACATCAACAGAAGTAACTGGTATATTCTTAGTAACTTTTCTATGAACTCTTCAAAAATGGTCACAGAATGCCTTTTAAAACGTTGTATATAGTCTTCACTGTTCCACCATCTAGCTTGCTAAGTCAAATATTTATGATGATAATGAGGTACTGAACCATGATGGCTGTTGAGGAATTGGTCCTAAAAGGACAGATCACTTAAGAAGAGTGAATAACTGATTTGCACGGCTGAATCAGGAGACGCAAAGATGAGACTGTATTTGGTTACATTTTGCAAGGTTTCCTTACATTCTCCCTTGGGGAGGCTGTGAGAGAGGGCTTGTATTCCTCTTGTGCTAAGCAGATCCTACTCCTAATTGACTTAAATATTTCAGCAGGGTACACAGGCGTTTCCGAGTTTTCAGTGACACCGTCCTGCCTAACCGGATGCGGTCAGCCTCTTCACACCCACCTGGCTTGCATCCCCCATCCCTTGTTCACACGCCCTGATTCACGGTGAGACATTTTGCCACCTTCTTGTGTATATTACTTGGCATGAGATGATATTGTACTTGTATAGGATTCTAGCAATTCATAATAAATATGTCAGACTAGGCTTTACTGTCTTATGCTTATGGACGTTGTATATTTGTATTTTACGACCAAGTAGACCAAGTCAGAAAGATCTCTCGAGCGTACCGTAAACCTGCAGACAGAAGTCCCGAAGGGCTCCACCAGGTACCAGGGCAGCTGCTTTTCCTGTCTTTTGTGCATGGGCGACTCATTACAGTGTGAGATAAGATCGAGTTCTGATGCGTTAAACGGAGGTGGCAGAAATTTGTCAAGAAGGCCTTATCCATTTCGATTGTGTGACAGATTGAAATTTATTGTTTACATTGGGGAATGTATCTCAAATTTTTAAATAGAAGAGTAATAAACAGACTTTAAAACAAATATTAGGATTTTTACTCATTCTAGGCAAGCAAATGAATGGAATTATCTGAGCTCTATGGCACTGGTTGTTTAGAGTGGCTGATTAAGTGCAACTTTCAGAAACATTTTTGATGGCATCACCAGCCTACTGCGGAAGTGCAGGGCACCAGTAAACACCATGTATTATTGAAGATGAATCTGTTTGTATGTATCCTTGTCAAATATATTCTATAATGAAATAAAATCTGAAAAGTGGATTTCTTATTGACCTATATTCATGAAAGCATATAAATTAAAATATTTAAAATTAGATATGATTCACACTATGTTCTGTTTCATACGCAGATTTTGTTCTCACCTGGGCCATTTGCAGGTGAGACTGTAGTTTGCAGATGAGACTGTAGTTTGCAGATGGTGTGGAAACATTCATCAGGGGAGATAACTATAAAGGATTTGGCCTATTACCATATTCAGTTGTCAGTTTATGTAGTTTTGTGAATACTGGCAAAAGCAATTGTTTTTCAATTAACAATGGAGGGAATGATAAGATGAGGGAAGGAAAAGGCATTCATTATTGACTTACATGTCAGTAAGGTCTACTTTTATTTCAATGCACTCCTATTTTCCAAGCTTAATAATAGACAAAGGATAAAAAAAATACACACACAAATATACTATTTTAGATATATGTACTATTTTATATATATGTAAACTACTATAGCTCTCTTTGTAATGAATTAATCATTTTATGAATGAATGAATGAATTTGATGGATTTAAAATGGCTTCATTTCATTGTAAATGAAATTCTTTGACCAGTGCAGTATTAACCTTGCAGGTGTTCACTGTTCATTCAGTCACTGTTAACACAGCCAGCAATGGCCCCGTGCCGCTGCTCAGCACCTCTCAGGCAAGCAAGGCCTTGAACCTCCAGGATTCTCCCAGAACGAGAGGCTCGGGAACCGGGCAGCTCTTAGCCTGGCTTCCCTGCAACACGTAAGATGAGGAAAGATGAAAGGAAAGGAAAGATTACGATTTATTTGTAGTTACGATAATTAAGTCTGTTAGCATGAGAGAATTTTCCAGTGAACAAAAAGCCCTCGGGATTTTTTTTAATTTACTATTTTAAACTTTGTGTTAAGATGAAATTGTTGCTTTTGCAGAGTAACGTCTCCGTGGCAATCCTGTTTAGATAAGGTCAAGCAAGTATCAAGGGAACACTGGATTTCCTTGAGAACAGGGTAGGCACTGGCGTTCCCGTGCTTTAAAGTTTGCGGAAGAGCACAGTTGACCCTTGAACAGCAGCGGGGTAGGGGTGCTGACCCCACACGCAGAGACCTACATATAACTTTTTACTGTCCAAAAACCTAACTACTGATAGCCTACTGTTGACTGGACGCCTCACTGAGAACAATTTCCACATACTTTGTTAATATGTATTATATAGTACACTCTTGGAATAAAGTAAGCTAGAGAAGATGAAATGTTAAGAAAATCATAAAAGGGGCCAGGCACAGTGGCCCAGCCTGTAATCCCAGCACTTTGGGAGGCTGAGGCAGGAGGATCGCTTGAGCCCAGGAGTTCAAGACCACCCTGGGCAACACAGCGGGACCCCATCTCTACCAAAAACTTTAAAAAGTAGCTGAGTGTAGTGGTGTGTGCCTGTAATCCCAGCTACTCTGGAGGCCGAGGTGGGAGGATTGCTTGAGCCTGGGAGGTCGAGGCTGCAGTGAGCCTTGGTCAGACCACTGCACTCCAGCCTGGGCGGCAAAATGAGACCCTGTCTCTCTGGGGACTCTGGAGGCTGCCAGCTGGCTGCCGCCCGCCTCCAGGGCCTGGGAAGTTGATTTGAAGAGTGACACCACCAGGGAAGGGAGGTAAACATCCTGCGGGAGGTAACACAGGAGGCTCTCCTCAGAGGCTGGTTTTGGGAGCCTGGGTGTGCTTGAGATTGTAGATTGCTCAACCCAAGCCAGGAGAAGCAGCTTCTGAGCCAGGTTGGGGGACTCCAGTATCCAAGGGCAGGTAAGGGAGCTGCGGAGAGGAGGGAGAGCCAGGAGGGCGGTGGTGGAGCAGAAGACAGTCCCGCACACGGAGGATCTTGTGTCCCAGCAGCAGGGCAGCTCCATGTGGTGCTCACCAGGAGCCAGCGTGGGCTGTGCACTGGCTTAGCAACCGGCATTCCAGCGTCTCCATGCACAGGCAGCGCCCGGCGGGAGATACAGGCAGGGTGGGGACAGCCTCAGCCACGTAGGGAAGAGAGAACATGAGGCCACAGGTCGCACAGGGCTGTCAGGAGCCCAGTGGGGGTGGGGGTGAAGAGGTGGAGGGAGTTTCCAGGCCAGTTGGAACTGGGGAGAGGCAAAGTTCAGTGGATTCTTAGCATTGGTAGATCCTAGGTGCCTGGCCGCCGGGGTGAGAGGGGCTCCCTGGCAGGGGCTGCCGTACGTCACTGGAAAGCCTATTCTGGCATCTCCCCAGCCCCCTACATTTTTTCGAATGGTTACTTCCATCACCCAAAGGTTGGCTATTCCATTCATTAGCCATCTCTTCTGTGGTTTGGGAACAGGCTGCTGTCATCCTGTCTTACAGGCGTAGGAGCACATAGGAAAGGGCAGACGGGAATGGTTCAATCCACAACTGGGGGGACAGGTTTTGGTGAAAAGGAGCTGAGGAACACGCGCTTGATGCGAGGTGAAAACTGACTCCAGGTCCAGACACGGTGGCTCATCCTTGTTAATCCCAGCACTTGGGAGGGCTGAGAGGCAGGTGGGATCAGAGGAGGTCCAGGAGCATCGGAGACTATTGGCAAGTGGCTGAAACACGGTGAAACCCCGTCCCTACAAAAATGCAAAAAAATTAGCCGAGTGGGTGGTGTCCTAGCTACTCGGAGGCTGACTGGCAGGAGAATGGGTCAACCAGAGGCGGAGCTTTGGCCGTGGAGGTCGAGATCGCGCCCACTGCATCCCGAGCTCGGTGGGCGACGAGGATGATTTCCGTCCAAAAAAAAAAAAGATAAAAGAAAGGAAAACTAAGAATTCCAAGGCCTGTTCTTCCTTCAGTTCTTTTTTTAAAAAACTTTTGGTGCTGGCGCGTGGCTCATGTGAATCCCGCACTTTGGGCATTGGTCTTGGGCAGTGTGGATCCTGGTCAGTGGGTTTTTTTTTTGGATGTCAACCCGCCTGCACGGGACGGAAGAGAAGCAGTTGCACATGCTGTGAACCTTACTTGGAGGCTGAGGCAGGAGAAGTTCACTGACCTGGGGAAAGACGGATGTTGCAGTGAGCTGGACACATGACACTGCACGTCTAGCTGGACAACAAGAGCAAATCGGCGAGGAAAAAGAAGGGGCCAGGCGGCAGGTTGGCTCAACCTGTAACCCCAGCACTTTGGAGGGCGGAGGGTGCGGGCGGAATCACGGGGTCAGGAGATCGGAGGACCATCCTGGCTAAAGCACGGTGGAAACCCCGTCCTCTTACTAAAATACAAAAATTTAGCTGGGTGTGGGGTGGGGCGGGCACTGTAGTGCCAGGCGTACTCGAGGCGGGGGAGGGCTGAGGCAGGATGAATGGCGTAAACCCCTGGAAGGGCACAGCTTGAAGTTGAGCGCGAGGATTCCCCACTCGCAAGTCCAGCCTGGCGACCACGCAGTGGACATCCGTTCTAAAAAAAAAAAGAAAAAACTTTACAGAACATTTCAAACATTCACAGAAGTAGAGAGAGAGCCTCTCGCCCAGGCTAAAAATTATCAGCGTACTCATTTGGCAGGGGAGATACCGTGATCACGAAAGTGGTCTTCCCAGGGCAAGGCTTATCCACTGCACTCCGGACATGCTGACCCCTGCGATTTCCCCAAAAGTAGGAAACTTGGCTGCATCATCTGTGGTCATGGGGACTGTGTTCATGCTTTCCCCTGGTTAAAGAAAAAAAAAAAAATTTAGAAAATCTTGTTTCCTCTGTCTCGCCTAACTTTTGGGGGAGATGGAGTTTTTTGTTTTGGTTTGGTTTGGTTTTTGGGTTTTGTTTTTTTTTTTTTTTTTTTTTTTTTTGAGACAGAGTCTCGCCCTGTTGCCCAAGCTGGAGTGCAGTGGCGTGATCTCAGCTAGGAGACGGAGTCTCGCTCTGTCGCCCAAGCTGGAGTGCAGTGGCGTGATCTCAGCGCACTGCAACCTCTGCCTCCGGGGTGCAAGCAATTCTCCTGCCTCAGTCTCCCGAGTAGCTGGGATTACAGGCGCCCGCCACCACACCTGGCTAATTTTTGGGTGTCTTTAATAGAGACAGTGTTTCAGCATGTTGGCCAGGCTGGTCTCAACTCCTGCCCACCTCAGCCTCCCAACGTGCTAGGATTACAGGCGTGAGCCACTGCACCTGGCCAAAATGGAGTATTTTTTAAAACAAGCCTACAGGAGTTTGAGACCAGCCTGGGCAATATACCGAGACCTCATCTTTGCAAAAAACTAAAACCTCAGCTGAGTGTGGTAGAGTGCACCTGTAGTCCCAGCTACTTGGGCTGAAGAGGGAGGCTTGCTTGACCCCAGGAGGCTGCAGTGAGCTGTGATTGCGCCACTGCACTCCAGCCTGGGTGACAGAGCAACACCCTGTTTCTAAAAAAAAAAAAAAAAAAAGCAGCAAGTCCAAGCCACTGTGCCATTTCACCTATAAATACGTCAGTCTGCCGCTGTGGTAAGAACACTTTATGTGAGGACACCATGACATTGTAACAGCTGACAAACTTGATGATTTCAGTTTCTCGGGCTGTCAAACCTGACCCTGTGGTTCGGAGCCTGGCACTGCATGACTTGCAGCACAGGAGCATAGAACAGCTGCCCGGCCTCCCTGCTGAGCAGTTCAGGGTGGGGTGTCAAGCATGCAGTCCCCAGTTCTGAACCCTTCTCCAGAGCCCAATTCTGCACCCCAACCCCGCTGCTCGATGCCCAGTGGCATCCCTGCCCCTCCCCACCTCCTCCTGCAGGCGGGATGCTCAGTGCTGTCTGAAACCTGGGCTCCTTCCAGCCCCTCCTGCCAGGTCCCCAGCTGTACTTTAGGCCACCTCAAGAGACCCCCTTCTGGGCCACCCAGGCTGGATCTTCCCTACCTTGATGGTAGGCCAGACCGGACCACAGGAGCCTTTAGGAGTTCCCAGTTCCCTCTTGAAAGAAGGAGCCTTGTTTAAGGGGAGCCTCCCCTGCAGGAAGTCCGTGCCCTCCCGGGGTATCCCAGGGGGTCCATAGGTCAACTCTATGTTTCAATAAAAGTAGGACACACGCGCACACCACCCTGCACTAGGGAGCTGGGGCGGGGCTGGGGGCAGCACACACTTTCCCGCTGATCTCAGGGGACCCCGGCATGCAAGAAGCCGGAGGGGACATGAGATTCAGGGGCTCTGGAACACAGATGACGCCTGGGCTTATAATGCGGGCCAGTTAAGAACAAATTTGGTTATTTAGGCTGAAAACACGAGTAGCTGATCTAGCAGACTGAATAAGTAATTATGAAAAGACCTTGAACTTGGGTTATAAATTTAAAAATCTCCCCTCCCAACCGCCTTGCAGCCCCGCGGCCAGCTGCAGGTGCGCCACCTAGTGGCAGAAGAGCAGAGCACCGCCCCTCTCTCCGGCTTGCCAGGGCTGGTTCTGAGCTAGGAAGGGTTGGGGTGTGGAGAGAGAGAGAGAAAGGGAAACTCTGGTTGACTTTGTGGGTGGGGCGTATGTTTCACTTGACCTTCTGAGAGAGCTATCAGAGGTTCGCGGAGAACCCCAACGTTGCTGATCACCTCTCAGCT